TCTGCTGTTTCTGTCCCTCAGCTTCTCCCCCATCTTTTTCTCATATCCTCCAGTCTGCCGCCAGATCTTCCATAGACACCAGAACAGACAGATGCCTGAGGCAGCAAAATATTAGGGGCAGCCAAATACTTTGTGGCTGTTTCTTGTCAGTGAATAGGGGCTTACAGGGGCATACATTTCCCTGCCTGCTTTCATCAGCCAAACACTAAGAGCTGGTGCCTTCTACTCTGACAATTACCGCACTTCTTTTTTTAAGAAAATAAGATTACACTAATCAGTTTATTTAGGAGCAGGTTGTGGCCTGACCCTACATGACTGAATGGAGGCCAGTGAGAGAGTAAGATCCCCCACCCCGCTACATCCTCATGGCTTTCCTACAACCCATCTCTAACATTTGGCTGCTCAACTGGTATTTCCCTCCTCACCTGTGCAGATGGATGGGAAATATGTAGAGCCTTGGTTCTCTCTCTCTCAGGTGCTAGGCGGGGGAATTGAGCCATTTCAGGATGGATAGTAGGATTTTTCCTGCCAGAAGCCTGTTCCCTTCACTTCTCATTATGGAATCTTGTCAACACATTCCTTAGAAGAGACCTGGTGTTTCCACAACTGGATTGGAATAATGTGCTTGAGAATCATACAGTTACAATTATTGCTTACTTTTAACTCTATGGCCTTCTCCTTAAAGAGAAGAATGATTTTGAAGTAGAGAGGCTGAGGAGCTTGATTCTTTAAAAAGTGTCAGTATTTCCTATAATCAAAAATAGCAGGACTAAATCCATTGGTGGCCATGAGAAATGTTATAAGCAGTCCTTAAACAGAGCATTGAAATGTGTCTGACTGTGTACAATCAGAAATGTAAGGCAAGAAGAGACCTAACGAGGCCATCTAGTCTGTCCCTCTATGTCAAGGCAGAGTTAAATATACCTAGATCATTCCTGACAGATGTGTATCTAACCTGTTCTTAAAAAGCTCCAAGAAGGATTACACAACTTCCCTAGGTAAGCTGGTCCAGTGGTTAACTATCCTTATGGTTTGAAAGTTTTTCCTAATACACCTCTACCTCGATATAACGCTGTCCTCGGGAGCCAAAAAATCTTACCATGTTATAGGTGAAACCGTGTTATATCTAACTTGCTTTGATCCACTGGAGTGCGCAGCCCCGCCCCCCCAGAGCAGTGCTTTACCACGTTATATCTGAATTCGTGTTATATTGGGTCACGTTATATTGGGGTAGAGGTGTATCTAATTTAAATCTCCCTTGCTGCAAACTAAACTGATTACTTCGTTTCCTACCCCCTTTGGACATGAACAGTGATGAATCTCTGTCCTCTTTATAACAACCTTTTACATATTTGAAGATGTTACATCCGTTGTCAGTCTTCTCTTCTCTAGACTAAACAAGCCCAATTTTTTCAAATTTTCCTTATAGGTCATGTTTTCTTACTATTTTTATTGCTCTCCTTTGGACTGTCTCCAGTTTGTCCACATCTTTCTGAAAGTATAGTGCCCAAATCTGGACATTCCAGCTAAGGCCTCACTAGTGCCAAGTAGAGTAGAACAGTTACTTCCCATGGCTTACATACAGCACTCCTGTTATACAACCCAGAGTGACATTTGCTCTTTTTACAGCAGCATCACACTGTTGACTCTCATTTAATTTGTAATCCACCAAAAGCCCCTTTTCCGCAGTACCGCTGCCTAACTTGTCATACTCCATGTTGTATTTGTGTATTTGATTTTTCCTTCCTAAGTGCAGATCTTTACACATGTCATTATTGAATTTCATATGATTGTTTTCAGATTAATTCTCCAATTTATTAAGATCATTTTGAATTCTAATCATCCCTCCTGTTGTAGTAGAATATTGCTAAACACTGTTAACTTCAACAACACACATGAACCAATTTTATTTCAGTACGTAAACAGAAAGATGCAAGTAATGTAGGCCCGCTCCCAGACCACTTCTGCAGATAAATCTAGAGGAATTGATGCACACTTGAAATTTTGCCAAGGAGCAGAAATGTAATAGCAGAAAGCTCTGACTGCCTACTAGTTAAATTTTCCAAACAAGATCTATATTTCTCTATGGAAATGCTCTGCGATCTGCTAACAGAATTGCTGGGCTGGGAAGTGGCCAAAAATCAGAAACCATACAGGACAGGGCTCTTAATTGGGTCTCTGTGACAGACAGTTACAGGTTATCTTTTGCTTGGCTATTATTTTGAAGTAAATACAATCATGTCCTTCCTCCTGATATTGCTAGCTAAGGATCTGATTGTGCAAGCCTTATTCATGTTGGTGAACTCTTATTTAGGCGAGTACTGGGTATGTAGGTCTACAATGCAGCTAGGAGAGAGCCTCCCAGTCCGGATAGACAGACCTGCACTAGCTCTGCTCCAGCTAGCACACTAAAAATAGCAATGTGGACATTGTGGGATGGGCAGTGGCTTGGGCTAGCCACCTGAGCTCAGATCCAGGGTGTCGGGTGGGCTTGGACTCGGGTGGTTAACCTGAGCCGCCGCCAATGCAAAGTCCACACTGCTATTTTTTGCACTCTAGCTCAAGCAGACTGAGCGCAAGTCTGTCTAATTGGGCTGGGAGGCACGCTTCCAGCTGCAGTGTAGACATACTCTTTGAAGTCAAGAGGCTACTTGCATGAGTCCATATTCACTCGTTTGAGTAAAGGTTGCACAGAGCTCTTAGTGTCTCATCATCAGTTTCTCAACAGTTTTCAGTAATATTTTCGGAATATGTAAAAATGAAATTAAAAACAAACATAAAAGTTCAGTAATTAAGGTTCTGTCTATATGAAACACTAACCTTTTATTCCTCCAACTTCTCTCTCCTCTACGCAGTCTCACCCTTTTATTCGTCTTTTCTGTCTTTCCATTTTTTAGATGAGGCAGGAGTTCATAAACTCGTATTGTAATAAATGCCCTGGTCCACATGCTTGACTCCAGTGGAACTGCTCACGTGTGGAGTGCTTTGCTGAAGCAGAGCCTAACCTCTCTAAATAAATAGTAGTATTTTAAAGCTTCTGTGGAAATCTATGGCTAGCCTGATATTTTTGGTATAATAAAAATGGGAAGGGCATTGAAGATGGAAGTGGATTCAGTGTTCCTACGGCATTATAGCTGTGAAATAAAGCCCACTTTTACATTTAGATAATGATTTACATAAACATATGCACTTACAGAGAATGAAGTGTATTCAGGGTCTCTGGAATGGTGTGTCCAAAAATGGATTCTTTGGGCTCATAATACTTCTGCACTTTCACCCTTGCTGCAGAAATTGGCTCTGAAGTGCTGTAGAATTTTCAGGACTCTGGATATATCTCATGAGCCCCAAACAAGTGAAAATTACTTGTGTATCTCATTCAAGGGATGACACACGATCTTCTGTTTATGTCACATCCTGGCGTTTCCCTTATGTTCTGTTTTAAAGTGATGTCGACATCTAGAGATTCTAATCAGAGTCCCAGGGATTAAAAATAAATAAAATAAATATTTCATTTTACACTTTTATTTCCATCCAAATGAACCAGAATTTAAGTCATCTTTGTCTTGTAATATTTAAGCAACTATAAATGTTTGAAATGATTTGCACAAATATTTCATATTTGAAATGAGAGCGTGCCCTGCCATTTGCACTGTATTTCAGATTTGTATGGCTGAGATGGCTAGGAAATAGCTGCAGAGAAAGATAGTGCAGCATGGTTGCTTATAATATTGGTATTGCATATATATGTGGACCGTAGGTCCTGTAGTTCTTACTCAGGCAAAACTCCTGTTGAACTAAATGGAAACTTAGCCTGAATAGAGACAGCAGGAGTGAGACCACAGATTGTGCCATGATACAGCTCCTCACCACACCATACAAAGAGGCAGTGTGGACTAGGACTCAGGAAACCTGGTTTCTATTTTCAGCTCTCCTACGGGCTGTCTTGGAAAAGTCCACTCCACTTTTCTGTGCCTCAGTTTCTTCTCCCACTCCTTGTCCATCTTGTCTGTTTAGATGGTAAGTTGTTTAAGGAAGGGTCTGTCTCTTACTATGGGTACACTCAGGGCCTAGCACAATGGGGGTCTTTTTGGTTGGGGCTTCTAGGCATTACTACAATACAGAATAATAATAATTAATTCAGAATGAACAAAAAAAACAAATATTTCAAGAATTTCTCTTCAGAAAAGGATTGGCTCCTAACTACTTGGGGCCTAATCCTGTTAGATGCTGACCTTAATAAGAGTGGAGAATGCTTAGCAATTCACAGGATTGGACCTAGGGTGACCAGATGAGAGATCTGAAATTTTGGGATGCGGGGGGTGCCGGCAGAGAAAAAAAAAAAAACTCAAAAGCCGGCGGCGGAGGGGGAAAAAAGAAAAGAAAGAAAAGACGGAGCATAGGAAAAATTGGTGGGGGCTGAGCACCCACTGGCAGCTCCACGCCCCCACACCAGCTCACCTCCGCTCCGCCTCCACCTCCCCTGAGTTGGCTGCCGCATCCTGCTTCTCCCTCCTCCTCAAGCACTTGCGCTGCCATACAGCTGATTAGCGCAAGCCTGGGTGGGAGGGGTGAGGAGGAGGAATGCGGCGTGCTTGGGGAAGAGGCGGGGCCAGGGTGGGAATTTGGGGAGGGATCCAATGGGGGAGGAAGGGGGCGGAGATGGGGCGGGGGGGTGCGAGCCCCCTCTGCCTGTGCGCCGGAGCGCAAAGTATCGGGACAATTCATGTCCCGACCGAACATCGGTCAGGACGCGGGACAAACAAGTAAATATCGGGACAGTCCCGATAAAATCGGGACGTCTGGTCACCCTAATTGGACCCGTAAAGTCTGAGCCAAAGCCCGCTGAAATCAACTTCAGCAGGTATTGGATCAGCTGCTAATGGATAAAGGTTATATTCACACCCTGTTTTCTCAAGTAATGTTGCTATCTCATTTTCATTATCATTTAAGTTGATTTTCTTTAATTTTATTTATCATTTACATGTGTATTTCGTTCACAGATTGTATTCGGATTATCTGTACTTTGCAAGTGCGAATAAATCCGCCGAAGACTTTCATGAAAAAGTGGCAGAATCCCTGCAGCTGTTTGAAAATTGCATGCTGGATTACTCACTGAGAGCCTGTGTCTACAACAACACCCTTAACAATGCCATGCCTGTATGTATTTCCAATAACATTTGATTCCTTGCTTAAAAAACAGACTATTTTGTCTGGATTATTAAAATACCAGGCTCCTTAGCAAACTATTAATAATAATTATAATCAAGACATGGTTTAGTTTGTGACTCCCAATAAGCTTTCTTCCTTTTTTTTTTAAGTTGGTGATATAAAAATATATTCATGCATGTAAAAACTGATGTGCTGGCTCAGCTGTCTCTTCAGTCTGTTCCCTGATGAATGCCAACAGTAATAATACATTCTTTCTAGTGTTCAGGAGCATGAAGAGCACATTTAGCAAAGATTACAGTTTAATCTTTACTTGCAAACCTATCCAAAAAATAGCTCTGGCAAAGATAAGGCAATTTCCGAACTGCACGTAAGAATACATCATTTATGCTGGGTTTTTTCCCCCCAAGAAAAGGCTATTGATAGGTAGATTAAATGCTCTCACACTTTTTTAAGCCGTACACAGCAGAAAAGGGAGAATTCTATTACATAAGATATTGGGCAAAGAACACAGAGCTAAATCTCAGTGTGATTGTTCCAAAATTCACATTTTTAGTGCTGATTTGTTTTTATATTTTGTTTGAGGGTGATAAAAGGGTTTTTGAAATTATTATATGTTCAGGAGATATGTAGCAGTATCTAATGTTTACTGTTGGTTGCACTTGTAAAGTACCAGGTCTCTGTGATCTAGCCCTTTACCTCCCATTTTCTTGATTTGGGTGGAAGGACACTTTCCTCCTCCTCTCTCTCCAGATTGAAGTAAATTTCATCTCATCATAATTTCCTCCAGTTACTAAAGTAATCTCAGAGGAAATCATGCATCATAGGCCCAAGTCAAAGCCATTTGAAGTCAGTGGGAGTCTTTCCCGTACTGGGAATGGGATTCAAGCCCCGTGTTCCTGAGCGTTGCTATACTGATCATCCAGAAATGGAAGTTGAAAAAGAGACAGTGTCTCCTTTTATTTGATTTAAAATGAATTTTGTAATGTGGTATTATGCCAGCAGGGGTTCGGCTCTAGTGGCGACAGTTTCAAGCTCAACAGAGTGAAAGTCACCTCTGCTACTTGTTTCAGATTTAGAGTCTCTAGGACCACAAAGACCAAGGATCTGGACCACTCCCACATTTACAAGTACAAGGTCTAGTCTGTTTTACAAGTTTTCTTAAGCCTATGGCCTAGTATGGCTAAAATGACATCTTACAGGTCTCAGCCTGTAGGCCTTGTGTTTCAGCCCTACTTACTTAGATACCTAATACATAATTATCACTTCTAACTACTGATCCATCTTATACTTCTATAATCCTACAACTTAACTCTGTTTAGCATACAATGATTATATATGACCTAACATATTAGTTAATCATAACATCACACAATAAATGAACAAAAAACTAAAATCATTGGCTACAACAGTCTCCTCCCTCCTCAGAGACCCGACTATCATGCTCTGAGCATCTCCAGTCATGCCCACTCTGGGAATTGCACACTGTAATGCAGTGCTTGCCAACTGTCTCCCTTGCACAAACGCAGTTGCATTATGGCATGAATACACTTGCTCAGACCCTTGTATTCCCCCAGGTTCCTAGACTGTCGTCATTTGTCCCACAGTTTATTCCTCTTCTTAGACAGCATCTTGAAGAAGGTACTTCTGAAAATTAACTCATTGTTCTTTCTTTTGAGATCACTTATATTTCCAGAAAGCTACCAATGGGTATCCTTAATAAAGCATGGAGCTCTAGCCAGGCTCCTGAATGGACTTTTCAGCTTCCTCTCAAGCATAGCTGACAAAGTCTATATATGTGTAATTTGTTATATATTGAAAGAGTAGATTTTTTCTGTGACCTTGGACGTTAGGTTAGTGTGACTACAGCAGAAAAAAGTACTCCTAAGAGACAAGAAAAACAAATAGCATAGAGATTGCCACTGCTGATAGGTAACCCTCTGTACAGAGAAGGGGCGTTCATCCATTTATCTTCACTTACCATCAATAGAAAGTGTATTAACCAAAGAAAGGGAAGGAGAGCCAGGGGTGTCAAACTAACATTGGAGAGACTGCAGTCAAGGAGGATTCTTTGGGAAATGCTCAGTTGCATTGCATACTTTATAGGGGGGAAGCAAATGACTTTCCTGAAAAGGGGATTTTGTTTTGAAACAACAGTGGCAAAACACAGGCCTGTATATCGTGCCATTTTTCAGACGTCCCAAGAGAAGTGAAGGTGACTATCCTGGGCAGCAAAGGGTTTTTACATTTGAAGTTCTTGCTGGATGAAGTGAGTGTTGATTCTATCCCAGAATTCTCTGTTTGGGTAGAAGCTCACTAATGCTATAAAATACTGTATCCCAACCTACATTATACAACTGATACTGGTTTCTTACTTGCCCCAGTACCATCCTGGTGGGAGAAAGAGGAATAAAGATGAGGAATAGATGATTTGCTGTAAGATTGTACAGTGCATGGCATAATGTGGCTCTGATCCTGTAATACCAGGGCTGCCCAGAGGCGGGGGCAAGTGGGGCAATTTGCCCCGGGCCCCTCAGTGGCCCCCACAAGAATATAGTATTCTATAGTATCGCAACTTTTTTTTATGGAAGGGGCCCCCGAAATTGCTTTGCCCCAAGTCCCCTGAATCCTCTGGGTGGCCCTGTGTAATACTATCATATGTGAGGGTAATAATTAAAAGAAAGTATTTAGAGCTTATAGCCTTATATTCAATATGTACATAAGGAATTTTGCTACATAGGTTACCCTGTAACTGACAAGCAGCCCAAGACCAATGTCAGGTCACAGTTTCTAAGATAACCATAATTTGATTGTAAGATTTTTGGGAAAGGAACTGTCTTTTATTGTATGTTTGTTCAGTACCTGGCATAATGGGTCATAATGATCATGATTGTGCCTCTGGGCTCTACTATGGTACAAAGAAATAATAATAATAATACAAGGAGTTAATAAAACTGTGGGAACTGTTTACTCAGAAAGGAAATATTCCACGTAACATCTGAGCCAAGAGTAAGGACTGAATTTGTTGAGAGAACTTTTGAATCACGGTTTTTAAATCTGTGCGCCCAAAAGTTGTTTGGCATGCAAAAACTCAGGCATTAAAACTTAAGTGCCCAAAAATTTAGATGTGCACTTTTGAAAGTGCATATGCAGAGGTTGCTTTGGAAAATTGGCTCTTTAAGTTTGAATAGATTTTGAGTCAGATTGCATAGATTAGTTTCTCTACTTGTCATCTCATAAAAGTAGAAACCAAAATATTCCATTTGTGTTCTTGATTTGGAATTTTAATTTAATAACAATGATCTGACAATAGTTGGAGGATAGGATTAATGTTCTGTGCTTTACTGGCAATTCAGAAAGCAGAGTGTTTCTTTTCAAATGACTTCATGTTGTTTATTGATGTGAAGATTGTTTTATAGTTTATTAAAATTAATCTGTCCATTGCTGTAGTAATGATTCAAAACATGACTTCTTTCAGAAGTATTTAGGCCATTACTGCAATTACTCAAGTCAACTAAAAGAGCACAAGACATCGTTGTCTGCTTTTATCAATTCTATACTGAATGTGACTCCAAGATGTACCAAGCTTCTCTTATCAAAGGCAGTCTTCCTTTCTGTTTCTATTTCTGAATGGTTAAAAAAGAAACAAACACAGGCACAAACAGGAACTTGGAGTTTTAAGAAGCCTAAACTGCACCCTTAAATGTTTGTTGCCTGTTGTTGTGCAAAATTGAGCAAAAATGGAGACCAGGTTAACGCCAGACTGAAAATTTGTCCCTTCACATAAAAGAGAACGATCATATTTTCCTCTACGGTATACTACAGTGTAAGTCTTCTGTTGAACAGTTAGACGGTGTACTCCTAAATCTGTCTAGGTATTGATGCCATGCTCCTAACTTTAGCATCTGAGCATCTGTTTGGTTCTCTAGGAATTACTAATATTGACTAACAGGAGTATAGTTTAATAGTACACAAGTCCTCCACCATCTTCATTTTAAGATAACGTTGGTGTCCTTTTCCTTCTGGACATTTGTGAAGTTGAATCTGCCTGGCCGAACTATCCAATGATCATTCTTCATAAAGCAAAAGCTAACAGATTATCTCCTCACATTCTAATTGGCTTGAAAAAATGAGCTGTGTGCCATAGCAGTTCATGCCATTCTACGGAATAGTCCAACAGCTGAAGGATGGTGCCGATATTTTGTTTATAAGAGGTTTTATTGAAGTATTTTCTCTTTGGTAATGCTGTGAGTATGGAGTGTCCTTACAGAATGCATGTTTGATAAGATAGAGGAATAAATTCTAACCCCAATACATCATAAGGTTTGTAAGACATTTCTGAAAGGTGCTGAGTGCCTTCAGCAACCATTGTGCTCAGCCTTGTGCCTTTTGGCCCTGATGAAGGTGAATGTACTTACACACATGTTTAGCTTTAAATATCTCCATGAATACCTATTCAGTTCAATGGTTGAGGGTCAGAGTGCTCAGCACTTAGCAGGACAGGGCCCTAAGCACATGGGCTCAGGCCCTTACTAAATTGAGACGTAATTTACAAATATAGGGGTCCAACGCTGAAGGATTTAACTATGTAAGTAGCCCCACTGAAGTCAATAGCGCTACTCCATGCATAAGAGCTACATGATCAAGGTTTAAACTTTTTCTAGGCATCATATTTTAAAAACCTTATTCTAGATCAAATCCAAAATAGATTTTCCTTCCCGTGGAGAACAGTGGGATGAATATTCATTATTTTTGATACAAGATAGAATAAATGAATTAACTCCACTTTTTTGTTTGTTTTTTGTAGGTGAGGCTACAGGTTGGCCTTTATGTTGTGTATCTCTTGGACTGGCTGACTGTTTTCGACAAGGGTCAGATACTAGTTCTCCGCTTAGAGGATCATGCATCCAATGTTAAATACACCATGCATATGGTGTTCCAGTTTCTGGATTTAGGTAGGCATCATCTAGCTGGTTTGAGTGAAGTGCAAAAGTCATGCTTACATTCTGGATTATTAATACTTATGGAGAGACAACATCGAAGATGTGAATCTGTGTTGATAGAGGGGCAAATTGTGCTGGCCTAACTCAAACAAAATTACCATTGGCTCCAAAGCTCCCATTGTTTTCAATGGGAGTTTTGTCTGAGTAAGGACAGTGCAAGAGAGTGAACAAAGAATTAATAACTATGTTATAAAATCAGAAACATGGCACTTCATGCACATGTTTGAGCATGTATGGCCTGATCCTACTTCTGTTGATGTCAGTGGGAGTTTTTGTGATGGACTGCAGCAGGAGCAAGAGCTGGCCCACGCGCTCTAAACAGCCAGGTGAAATACTTCAATGGTATGATGTGTTTCGTTGCCAAATTGGCAAATCCAGAATCTGAGTATTATAAAAGGCAGCATTTCTAGTGTCTTGGGGAATATGTTTTGACTGTCATTGGCTGAGACGTCTGTTGCTAATTGTCAGAACAACATTGACAGACAGAACAATGCCTGATATTGGTTAGACAGGAGGAGGAGGAGGATGAAGATGTGGCTGCACATTAACCTGGTTGAATCCAAACATTGGCCTAGGTAATTAGATTTAGCAGATTGAACAGATAAAGAGCCTGGCCCCTGCTCCTCCCATCTAAGTTGCACTGAAAGAGGTCAGTGTACAAGTACAATTCAGGAGGGGTAAAGTTTGCTCCTATACTGAGAGTCATCGTAACACTACTTATATCCCACTGAAGTCCTTAAAGAGGATTGAAGTCAGATATAAGTGCTGCACTGTTTGACTGGGTGAACTTCACCCTAACAGGTATCAGGTGGCTCCTTCATAACAACAAAAATTAGGAAATAAAATGAAATAATTGTTACCGAAGAATGCACATTAATAGTTATTTTTACTGTCATATTTGTTTTCTGAAAACATGTATCTACCTCTAGAAATGATTTATGTTGCTTATTGCACAGATGATTAATTGATATGAAAGGAAAACTAAGTATTTCCATGTAGTCTAACTGAAATTTATTTTTACTAAACTAAACCCGTAACCAATATTCTGGAACATAACCACTGCTAGCAAAATTCCATTAATCTTTTCTTGACAAACCTATTTACTTGGCCATTTACATTCTTTAACATTAACATTTTGGGAAGGAATACATTAAAACAATTTTCTTTGACTGCAGGGCCTATAAGTGAGAAACAAGAAGCTCTAATTACAAAGAGTCCTGCATCAAACACTAGACGTCCTGAAGACCGAAATCTGGGACCCATGTTACCAACGACAAAGGCAATTCTAAGAGACTTCTATAGGCCTTTTAATACAAAACTGGCGCAAGTTCTTTTTGATGATGCTTTTTTATGGAAAAAGACATAATATGTAAATTCACTTCCACAAATACACTGCTTTAAGGAGTTTTTATTTTTTAAAGTCTATTTTTGCGTGCACACATTTACATTTTATCCATTCCAAGGAGAAGCAAATCTAATGAGATGAGAGTTCTCTTCCCTTAGCATACGATATTTCACTGAAGCTAGCTCACATTTTCCTTGTCAGAATGTAAAACATCCTGCTTATCAATCTCTTGCCATTTCTTTCCTCCCCCAGCAACAGAGCAGTACGGAAATAGCATTGGAATGAAGGAGTTCTTTTACACTGTCTGGCTGTGGTTTTGAAGTTTAATCTTCTCTAAAACAGTACAATACATAATTAGCATTGATCTCTTAAAACCACACTTATGTCACCACTTTCAAGGTATGTTCTCCCCTCATTCATTCCAAAGTAATAAAAAATATCCATTAGCCATTAAAATCTTTATTTGAATTTAATCCAAAATTCTTTTTTTATTACTACAGCGCATCAACACATAGTGCAGAATCTGTTCACCCAGATTAATGCTATTACTTTAGTTAATTAACTAATCTGATATATAAAAACATAACCAAGTGACTTTTCAATGTATTACTGCATTTAAGTAATTCCCAAACCTAATTAACTCCTCCAAATATGCTACAGTTTGTAGTAAAAGAAGAATTGCATATTCAGTGCAAGAATGAGTAATTTGAAAGTATTAAGTTAAAGAAAAAGCTATACATTTTGGGGCATAATATAGAATAACAGAAATACACAAGTTTCTATTTGATTTTTTTTAATTTTACTTATTTAAATGCACATATGTAGAGTCCACTCATCTATATATTTTCCCAAGAAACCAATAATGGGTCTGACGTTAAGTCCAGTGATATCAGTGGAAGTCTTTTATTTCAGTGGGATTTGGATCAGGCCCTACATTAATTATTGTGTCATTTTCCATTATAAAGAAACATGTTGAATTTCTGAAACCATTTAAAACCTAATCACTAAATTCATATACTAGTACCATACAGTATCATGCATGACAGTATAATTCCTTACATTCTAGTAGGATCGGTACAGATAAACTGATGAAGTTGCACACATTCTTTGTTTCCCTGTTTGGACAATTTGTATGCCTCTAGTCCAAAGTAAGTTCAGCTGTACAATATTTCATGCTTTTTATTTACAATACAGCAAGCTACATTCACCTTTCAGTTACACCCACACAACCTCATGGAAGGCAGAATTTGGCCCAGTATGTTCTAACTGTAAAGTTGACTTATTTTTTAAATTAGAGTGGATTATAGCCAAATAAAGACACTTATTTCAGTATAGTTTCTTCTCAAGGGCTAGGTGATACCTTCACTGAAATGCATCCAAACTGGATCAACTACAGCTGATGCACCAACGTCCAAAGAACCAGTTCTAACTAGTATATTGTGCTCTTAGTTTTGGATACTATCATTTTGCTCTTGTGCCTGTGTCCATAGTAGAGCTGGCTGAATAATAATAATAATAAACAGATGCGCAAACATATTTGCAAATAATCGTACTGACTTCACTGCGTTGCTGTCTGTGGGGTCATATTATTTATTATTTACCAGTATTCCCTTGACTGACATATAGTGTGGAAATTGTTCACAAATTCTGAACATTTCACAAATAATTATTCATGTGAAAATTCATGTGAGAAGTTCATCATTGGGTATTCACTATTTGCAAATCTCCTGTTTAAAAAGATTCAGTCATCCAATCTGGGAGCAGAAACAATACCACGGGATTCAGGTGACCCATTCTCACACCGCAAATGTTAATAGTTTACAGAGACAAGTTGGGAGAGGTAATATCTTCTATTGGACCAACTTCTATTGGTGAAAGAGACAAGTTTACACAGAGCTCGTCTTTAGGTCAGGGAAAAATAGTTTCCAAACATATATTCAAAATTGTTCATGAGAACTATTCAGTGAATACTTATGAATATTTGACATATTTGCTGAAATCAGAATTGATTCGAACACTCTGTGAACAGAAATAAGGTCTAAATTTTCAACAAATATTATTTACACTGTGGTCAGCCCTATTGTATACCAGAATTAGTAGTCAGGAAAGGTGGATGAAAACTACCAAAAGCGCTAGCTCCCATGACTAGTCTCATTGAATTCAGTGGTTGCAAAGGGGATTGTGGGTGGGAGGCAGTTAGGGCCCCAGGTGGCTGTTACACCCAATGTTTCATCTCTGGTGACAACCTCGCCTAGTGGTGCAGTCCACAAACAGCAGCTTTGCCTAATGGATACAGTTTTTGGTGGCAACTCTACCTAGTGGGTTCAGTTTCCAGGCAGCAGCTCCACTGAATGGATACAGTTCTTGGTGAGGGAAAAGGAACCCGGGCCCTCCTGCTCCACCGGGTTCCACCTTCACTCACCCTGGGGTATCTTGTGTCAGCCTCAAGTCAGCTTCCCTGGGTCACTTCCTACCTCCTTCTGTATTCCAGCTGGCCGTCGTCCGTCCTTGGGGAATGCTGCATTCCAGGCTTAGTCCCAATCTGTGGGGCATAGCCCAAATCACAGAGTAACCTTTAGTGATCAAAACCTTTGTATTAAGTCTTATTTGCCCCCAGCACTATGCTGGGGCATTACTCAATTCTAACTCATAGTACAGAAGAACACATGCTACCTGTTCACCAACATTATTTCCCACTGCACCCTTACTTTGTGTCGGAGGATTCCTACTCAAGTTTGGACAATAATGGGACCACAGCCAGAGACCTATTGGGTCGCAACCAGATCATGTACAGCAACATATCGGAAGGATGCCAGCTGATAGTTGGTACAAAGGTTATTGATTCAAAAATGGAAAAGGAAAAAAAATAGTATATTCTGAAAAATGATTGATAAAGTTTTGGAAAGATCAGATTTCCCTTGTGCTCAAAAGAAGTGCTGCTAAATGTACACAAGCTAGATCTCTGTCTAAGTTTGCCTTTTTTGAATGTAAAAACAAAGAAAAATATCTGAGAAGAGCTAGGATGTTTTAAGGTTATCATCATGCATTTGTTCACGATTTTGTGTCCTAAGGCTGCATTTAAGAGGTATTGCTGCACTCCAACAAACTGTGTACTTTATCAAATGCCAATTATTACTGATTTGTCAGGTTACTGTAGTCATTAGGAAAATGGAAGTGACCTTCTTTCTAACGAGGCTGATTTTATTGCGCCATCTCTTCAGGTGCCACCTAAAAGTGACACCACAATTTGTCAAATTGTGGTATCATAATACAGGATTATGACATCACTGGGTAAAACAGCAGGAGCAGGTTGGTAAAGTGGGACTTTTCCATTTATGTGCAGATATCACTGTTTATTCCCAGGATTGGAAAGAAAATATCAAACTAGTGTCTCTCACAGTAGACTAGCATTTGGTAAATTAGTGCTCTTCAAAGATACCACACTGACCGTTCTCGAGATCCAAACCTTCTCTTTTTAGCCAGAGAACAGGTACAGTATGGGCGGCATTATGCAAGCTTCCCAGCACTGCCTATCCAGGGACATGAAGCCTGACTTGGCAAGAAGCCCTCTATGGGTCAGAAGATGGATAGTTCAGTTCCCAAGACCCTTTGTTCCTCTGCTGGACAATAATTCAATGATGGTAACTGTTGGACACTCTGGATGTGGGTTGGATTCTAAGAGGTAAACTAGATGGGGAAGCCATAAGTAGTAATGCTATTTGCTCTAGTACAGAGCCATCCAGCATCCCCATAATGATACTTTTGTTTAAAATGTGTATATATTTTAAGTATAGTGTGTTTTAAAGCTTGCCAAAATGTGTCAGTGGCTCTTTACAACCTGAAGAACATGGAATACATATGTCTCACCCACTGTTTTCACTTATTCCTTTTGAATAACAGTAATCAGGAAAGCTATAGATATTCTGGTCCCAGAGTCACTAAGGGAGGGTCCATTTCCAAATGTTGTCTCCACTGTAGTTCAGCAACATGGCGGAAGAATGCAAAATGTGTTTTCTGTAAGATCCTTGGCATTAAATCCAAGAATTTTTGATAGGTGGAAAAAATGAAGTAAAAACACAACAATAACAAAAGCCTCTTACCAAGATAAACAGACTTTCTTATTTACATAGAAAATGATACATTGTTGTCTATTGATTCCACTATATAGGCTTGTATGCTTCAGCTTAATAAACTGGAGATAAACAATGACGTTGTTACAGCTTGAAAATGTCTCCCTGCCAAGAATTAATATAGTTTCCAACTAAGCCAAGGGTCTTCTATAACAGACAAGACAAAACTGTGTGGCAGAAAATGATTCATGTAGGTACAACATGTAAATCTAATACAGGCATGTTTAATATTAACATGCTGTACTGTGTGAGTGACTGTGTTTCGTCATGTTTTTGAAATATTATGTTCCTAGTTTGGAAAAAATGCTTATGTTGCAGTGCCACCTTATGGTCAATGTGGGGAAATATTATTTTGTCCAATGAACTAACTTGGAAAAAATATAAGGAGTATAATAAGAATAGTTCAGTTACACAAATATTTGTCCTACTGTATAAAACAGGAATTTATTTCTCAACCCTATGTCTGCAGGGGATGGAAAAGGAAGTGCTAAACCTTTTTTAATTACTGTCATGAGGTCTTATGCACATTTGCTAACGTCCACTCCATGGATACATTTTCAGTCTTTGATACGATAATGATGCTTAACATTTCAAGGATTTAATTCAGCCCTGCTGGTGCAGAAAGATTCAAATTTCACATCCCTCCAATAATGGAGACCCATGCACTGGTGAATGACATGCAGCATTTGCACAGCTGCTCTTCCCCAGGGGCTCCTCCGCGGGGAAGATAGCTTTACATTCTAGTTCAGGCTGCTGCTTAACCCTGCCAGGCGATGCTATCTGGGAGATGAGCTGAGTCCGTTTTTGTCCATGGGTGGTTCCCTTCAAAGAAGTCACTGCAGGCACATCACGCTGCAACAAATGCCTTCCAAGTGGGCTTTCCCCCACCAGAGGCCCTTGTCCCCAAGAGTCCATTGGTACAATCCACT